CGAGTGACGTACTTACGTTGCTCAATTCTGGTTGAGAGTAACGTAGTTACGTTAATTCTTCCCAAGACCTCGCAAAAAGTACACTTACATTTTTTTTTCTATACCTGGTACACTTTCAATAAGCTATGAGCACGATTTTTCTACTTTCGCTTAATACTACTTAGAATCACTCCCTGACATTAATAACTGAATAAACTGACCTTAATTTTTTTCTTTCTAGATAATGGCAGTCGCCAAAGAAATTCGAGAAATATGAGCATCGTTCATTCCCTCAACTCGAAGCCAAAACAAGCGGCCGCATGGACCGGTGCCTATCCTATGCCGCCAACGTTAATCACACCCACGCGCCGGAGTTGAAAAAAGTAGAAAACGCGTGCTGGAGCTCCAGGCATTGTTAGAGTTCGGCTATTCCAATCACCGCAGTGGTTGGAGACGAGCCGTTACCCGAGTGTCCGCCTCGGCATTGATTGCTACGAGCCGAAGTCGAGTGCTCACGAGTCCAGTCCATGAGCCGCGTTCGACTGTCGTCAGGCGGGTGGTTTCGCGTTCCCACAATGACGTCATCGACCTTTGCGAAGGCAACACTGAAAGAAACAGTGCCCTTTTATGCTCGCAATTTCACCGCGACAAAAAAGCTTCTGAATGAGTACGCCTCTGTTAAGTCATGAACATCCCAACAGGATATCATTTCATATCCCGCTAAGTCCAGACGCAGCCGACGCTATAAAGCTGGTGGCACTAATCAGACAGCGTCAAAAGGGCATCATCATGGTGTTCGTCATGTTTCTGGGTGAGTTCTATCATCGCTGAACCAACCATAACCAAAAAGAGCCCAGTTACTTGCGTTTTTTACGCTGTTTGATTGGTACCATTAGCTCGTAGCGTCGATTGCGTCTAGACTTAAGCAGAAACGAACTATAGGTGCCAAGTCATTAATTACTTCACTCATTTCACACACCTTCAAAAATTTGCCTGTCGTTTCGCAAGAATTCCCATCGTACAAAAACTCCAACATCCATGCCATCTGTCCCAATGTCAAAAAACGCCGTCGGAAAAAAAAAATCACGGTAACTGTCAGTAATTTTATAAAAAGTAACGCAAAAGTAACTCTCGTTACTGTTTATCGGTAACGGTAACGCGAACATTTTATTCTGAGGTAACGTATGTCGGTAACGCGTCCATTTATTTTCAAAGTAACGAGTAACGTATTTCTTCACTTTTTTTTCGATAAGTCTTACAACACTGGTTGTTCGTTAAAAAAGTACGCAAACTATGCTCTCAGTGTTTCGTCTCGTGCTATGGTTCATTTTGTGAATACGCGCGCCGTCTAGGAAAAACATGCGTGTGCGCGCGCGCCTTGCTCGTAAACAGTCTGGAGGCAATTGGAGCAGATTCGATATTCATCCGGATAAGCACTTACGCCTCCTAAATTGGATAGAAGATCTGAATAGCTCTTCCGTATTGACGAACCCTTTTTATTCTCTTTCATGTCGCCGAGATGATGCGGGCGTGCTTCAATATCCATCAGGGCGACCCGACGCTGTACTCTGATGCAGTGAGGGCAGACATGTACACCGTCTGACCCAGTTAACGGGAACGGAAAATAGGTGCTCGTTCGGGTTGGGCGTTCGTACAAGCTATTGAGGATTACTTACTACACAGTTTGTCACTTAGGTTGATGCCCGACAGAACTATTTTCACTACACCGGTGGGTTTCGTGATATCGTTTTGATATTTAGAAAGAAAAAGAAACAGGATAGAAAATTTCGAGGACAGCTAAGGACTTCTTATGAGTTGTCAATGCGAAAGCGTGAATGCCGTTCTGCAACTCCCTTACTTTGTCTGCGGTGTATACTGCCGAGGTTGCGGCCGGTGGTCGAGCTTGCGCTGTTGTGAAGCGGCCGCCAATGGCTATCTAGGAGACGTTTTGCTCAGCCAATCAAAAAATTAGCATTTTCGTCGGGTTTTTTTTTTTTTTTTTTTTTTTTGCGGTTACACTGCCGGCTTCGCTCTGTAGAATAACTAATGCTTTCGCATTAAAAAAAAAAAAAAAAAACCGGCGATTGCATTTTTGCGTTAACACTTTTACGCGGTGCACTCAAACATGCCCTGCCGTTCGTGTGCAGTGTTGCGGCAGAACACCGAACCAGAACAGCGTTCCAAGATACGCGCCCTATGCTCCGTTCACCGTCAAGCTGAGAGTGGAAGCTCAGCCTTCAGCGCGAGCTTTCTGCCCTTGCTAACACAAGTGGACGCGCAGGCACGCGCAACCAAAGCACTGCGGAAGACAGCAAGCTCGCGCTGAAGGCGGAGCTTCTAATCTCAGCTTAAGGGTGAGCCGCGTTCAGGAAGGCGATTCCTGGAATTCCGTTAGGGGGCCCTACGTTGGGCACTTGAGAGAAAGTCGGCGGTTCTGAACATTTGGCGAGAAAGTCGGCAAGACCGCCGACTTTCTCGCCAAATGTTCAGAAGTAAGTGTTGGCGCAAAACACCCGGCAAGAGTATTAATTTACGAGTAGGAGCGTGCGCAATTTTGTGTCGTCATTGATTGGTCACAGTCTGACACCAATTTTTTCAGACCGTTCCACTAGGAAGAGCGGAGAGAGAAAAAAATGCCCTCTCCCTTTCACCCCGAGGGTCGTCTGCTTCGCCGAGTGGGCTGTACCTAACATCCGGCTGGTGCTGAAACTCGGCTTAAAATCGCATCATTTTGAAAATTTCAAGTGCAGATGAGCGAATTTTTATATGCAAGTTATCGTGTAATGCTATGCTCGAGAAAAAGACTAGCCGGGTACAATTGCGCTGTTACCTGCGTGCAAATAAAGAAAAGAAATGGGAAAACTGTGTCCGAGGGGCCGGTCTCCCGCGAAAAGTAAATCCGGTTCCTGTAGCTTTTTTACTGTAGAAAGGTCGTACTAGGGGGGGGGGGGGGGGGGGGGGGGGGGTGTAGGCTTTTAGCGACAATGACTGGAAGTCTAGAATAAAAAATAAAAACGTGCTCTTTTGACGCAAAAGACACAGTGGTTGAGGGCAGTACTGCCGGCTGACTCCCCTGCTATTGAAGTAACGGAACAAAGATACGCTAGTTGATCATTTACTAAAATAAAACAACAGGACGCTATAGGATGATTTTGGAGTTGCCAAAAATATTCTAAGAACGCGAACCACTTCATAACGTCAGCCACGTGCGAGAGTTTGATGTTCGGTAGAGCCCGCCCGTACAGCCCAAAAACGGAGAACGGCAACCTCCCGGTCTGTCGTCTGCTAGCGGAGTCGGGCGCGTGCCCTCTCTCTCGTTTTACCACGCCGAACCTGCTGAGCTTCCCGGATGTCTGGAGAGGGCGCTGCGGTCGAACAATATGGCGCCGCGCTGAGAGCTCTAAATGGAATGGTCTATATATATATATATATATATATATATATATATATATATCCACGTAACTTGAGCCAAGGTTTACAAATATTTTGCTGCACTCTAGGAACACGAAGCCAAGCGAATAAATTTGTTCATTGTTTGGAGCAAGTCAGGCTATTTGTTTTGTATTTCGCCCAGTTCACTAATTAATTAAGATTAATTAATTAACTTCTGAAATATTTCTTTTATATTTTTATAATTTGAATAAAGTTTATTCTCTCTCACTCTCTGTAATATTTAATTCAGAGCAAAAGTTTTTATAATAAAGTTGTACAGCGTCCTCAGAAACGTCCAACCCAGTGGTTTTTATCAAGTTTTTATAAAGAAACCTCTAACGCGGTTCGTTTTTCCGGGCTTTAAAAAAGTGCCTAAATTATAAAAAAAATAAAAAATAAAAAGCGCGAACATGTCAGCAGCGTCTAGTCAACAGTGTTCTATTGAGCATGCAGGCCTAGTTTATTGAAGCCACGGCTGAGAGCGCTGCAGTACAAGATGCACATGCGCAATCACATCTGTGTGTGTTTTTTTTAATAATTCGCAACATGTTTTTGAGGTTAATAAAAAAAGGTGTTAAGCTTTCGTGACAAAAACCATTGAATTGGATGTTTCCGAGGACGCTCTACAACTTTTTCATTGGAACTTCTTCTCCAAATTGAGTACATCAAAAGTTAATTAATTATTCCCAATTAATTAGTTCATTGGGCAAATACAATAAATAGCATGACTTGCTACAAACAATGGACAAACATATTCATTTGGTTTCGCCTATCTAAAATGCACCAAAATGTTTTTAAACCTTGGCTCAAGTTACGTGGAATACCCTGTATTAGGGTGCCTTCATGTGCGCTTCGCATAGAGTGATGCCAACTGCCCGCTTCCCTTTCCCACACCCTCTTCCACCGCCATTTTGTTCCTCTCACTGTTTCCCCGTGCGCCGGAAAGTGGCCTTTGTGTCCAACGGTCTTCCCATTTGAGGGGGAAAAGGCTAATCCTCCCTCCGTAGGTTCCACAACGCTGCTCCGAACTTGTGAGATAAGGTGCTTGTTTCCGGGAGGGTTATAAGCCCCACGGATTATCGCCGAGAACCAAAATGGCTGCTAGTTTGTCGGCGAGTGGTATCACAAAGGGTGGCATCACCCTAGCAAAGCGCACATGCAGGCTCCCTACTTTGTATATAATCTCACAAATTGGTGTGAGACAGCGACTAATAAATGAGGGCACAGAATTGCGCACGCGCGAACATTGCAACACACACGCACACGCACCTGTGTGTGTATGTGTGTGCATGTGTGTGCGTGTGCGTGTGCGTGGGTGCGTGCGTGTGTGTGTGCGTGTGCGTGTGTGTGTGTGTGTGTATTGCTGTTTTGGGCACTGCATTATTTCTGTTGAAAGTAATAGAGTGGCCCGCCGACTACGAGGTCTCGTCCCTGATCAGATTTTCGAACGCGACCAGTGACCATGCAGACAATAAAGAATTCATCGACAATCTCGCAAATTTTATAGGTAATTGTCACTGATCGTTTAAAGAAACGCAGGGAATAGCGAGGCTTAAGCATGCACATTATTATCTGCAGCCAATGAGATGATGGCATTGGCCGATAAGATCGTAAATGTGCGCTGCGTTTCGGAAGTAGTCAGTGACGTGCACAGACGGAATAAGCCAAGTGAGTGCGAAAACAAATTTTAATGTTAAATCGAGCGTGACAGAGCGTTCGTAGGATGCATTGCAGGGCGGAAGGCCGCTTTGTCACTGACAGTTTGAGAAAAGAAGTGGATGGAAAAAAAAAAGTGCTAGGGAACCGATGCTTTACAACATCTGTTCTCGCAACAGATGTCCCTGAATTTTCACGATCATTTCTCCACGAAATGATTACAAAACACTTCAGTAGCTAAACTTGTTTTCACGATGGGTGAAAAGGGCGTTGGCGCAATACGCAGATTCTCGACTTGTAAAGATTAAAGTCCGGATTTAATTGAAAATGAAGCATTCCTCAAACAATGTTGCATAAGCTTTTTTTATTATTATTATTATTATACATACTTTGTGGACGCCCTTGCAGTCAGATTTTATACGAAACGTGAAGCTTCATTTTATCTCGTTAATAGGGACTTTTAGCGAACCGTTACCGTGTTTCGCGTGCCGCGCTATTGGAGCCTTTGAAGCATGCTTTTCAAACGCGCGCCCGCTGCGATACCATGGCCGCGTGGCGCGCGCTTAAAAGCATGCTTCAAAGGCTCCAGTAGTGCGGAACGCGGAACACGGTCTGCGTTTGCATGAATGCGACCGTAGCGCATCAAATCCAGATTTGTCTATTTTGAACGGTAACAGATGAGTGGGAAGAAGCAGGAAGACTGGCTGCGTACTACTGGTCCCTGTTTCGATCGATGCGCTACCATCGCATTCATGTAAACGTAGCCACGGTTACGGTTTGCGAAACGTTCCTATCATTAATTTCACCAAACATTGCGACGCGTCTTCTTCAATCCTAAGTGCGCGTAAATATATTTAAGCTCGGATTGTTGTTGTTTTGTTGACGTCAGAGGTCCCGCATCGCGGGATCTCTGACGTCAATCACCGGAGGCCAACGCGGTGCGCTCATTGGACTCGAGTGTCGCGTCAGCGTTCGGCTGGAACTCGGGTCCTCGGCGATTGGGCACAAGTCCCAGCCGAGCGCTGACGTCGCACTCGTAGCCAGTCAGCGCCCCGTGTTGGCCTGCGGTAGTTGACGCCAGAAATCCTGCACTACGGTCTTGTTATCTGTACTTGTATTCGCCTCAAGAACCGTATAGTAAAGAAAGTCCGCCTTTTTGCGGAATGTTACTAATTTTTTTTTCCATCTGTTGAATCATATACACAGCGCCCGCCCGAAAAGTCAGTCGACGTGGCGCCGTGTCGCAATAACCGTTGTCTGATTTTCTCTTTGGTAGATCAGGCCGCTTTTTGTGACACACACCTTTACGTAAATAAATTAATTATGTGGAATTTCCGTCCGACAAAGGAACACGACTGAAAGCCGAATAGTAATTAAGACGTTAGGTTTTTATAGCGAAATTGCTTTCGACTGTTTTTCTGTAATGATGTTTAGGGAATATTTCGCGTCGATTGTGAACAAATAGTGGTAACTAAAACGAAAATCCCCGCTACGACTTATACTGCCGTTTAAATTACACTAAAAGGATATAATCTGAGACTGACACAATTTTTATTACGAATAATCGAAGTGGTCCATAATCAATTACTTCCGTACGTGATTGTATAAAACTATTTATTCGTCATTCAACCTTCGTAATTTTGAGTATTTCTACGCGAAAAATTCGCCGGTGGACTTTTGTGTTCAGGGGCCATGCAGACACGTTTTTATAGTTGGATGCGAGTGAAGAATACGTCAGAAGCTCGTCGCACGCCCTTCTTACACCGCCGGTCACCGTTCCTCCGCGTTGCGCAAATCGCTACGAGGCGCACGTCGCGCTGAAGTCAAACAACTCGCCGTTGCTCCTTTCCGGGTTGGTCCGCGGAGCGATTCGATGCCGTGGCACGCTAATCTGACGGTGACTAGTTGGCGCACTTCCGAGGCCGCAGTCGCACCTCTCGTTCGTCATACAAAAGGCAAATTACCTGCGGATACCTCAAACATGTTCGAAGCATCTTTGGTTTCTACGTACCTAGAACACGTCTTAGACGGTCTTTGCATTACCAATGTGACCGTCGTGCAAGGAAGGCCTGAGACAGTGTCTGCGGGAAAGACCCCGGAGACGAGGAGTCACAAGAAACAGGACAAACACAACACCGTGTCTCATTTGGGACACAAAAAAAAAAAGGGGGGGGGGGGGGGGGGGACAAATACAACACCGCTAGAGACGGCGTTGTGTTTGTCCTATTTTACAGCGGAGCTGTTAAGGGCTAGTTTCCCCAGGATTGTATCCGTCAGCAAACAAATGATGGCACAAAATTCTGGACAGCTACCGCCATCGCTCATAGATGACGGCAACCTTTCGAGCCTTTCCACTCTGGCTTGCCGACTTGCGGCCGGCCATTACTTAAAGGAGCTGTGCAACGATATTCAGTTGGAATGTTTTTCACTATACACGAGCTTACTGGCACACCTGGGACTTAAGGATACTCACACGCAACTCCGCTGGCCAAGAAACTCCTTTGTTGCGGTGTAATTTCAAGGACAAAAGCGATCATTTTCATTCAATCTCTCCTTTGCAAAATTTGATGACGCAACGTGGGGATCGAAGTACACCCAAGTGACGATATTTGAATGCGGTTCATAGATTGGACCCGAGCATTGCGTGGGCACTCGACTTGGGCTCGTGACAATTGCTAGCTCGAGAAGCATTCGGATAGTGACCCGTGTCCAATCGCTGCAACGACGACAACAGCCGAGCCATAACAATGTCTGGAACTCAGCGCGTGTCCTGCGCTTTGCCAACCCCAGCGCGTGGCTATGATCATATAATCGGCTCCAGATCCCCTGCCCGTTTCGATCTGGATGAGCATCGTACCGGCGTGCGGTCGTGTATCACTTCTGCGTGGTGCACGTTAAAGACCCCAGGCTAGCGGTTGTACGGCACTGGCTAAATTGCTCATCCACAGCTGGGAGACTCGTCGCCCCTGTGAGGCAGACCAAGTTCTAGGCTGTAGAAACATACACACAACACAATTTTTTTTCGGCTCCAGATCACGTGGCCGCTTGTTCTGGCTGCGAGTTGAGGGGTGAACGCTGCTCGTTTTTCTTAAATTTTTTTCTGGAACTTCTATTGCGTGGGGTGAAAAACGAACGCGTCTTTCATAGGTCATTAACGTTAGGGATCCGTTTTAAGCGGTATTTGCGCAAAGTACAAAAAATGTTGCATAGCTCCTTTAATTCCCACCATAGTACAGCTTCGCTCGTCTTCCTTCTTGACCAGAATGGAAAAGCTCAAAGCTTTATTTTTTGTGTCCCCTCGTCACCTTTTTTTTCGGTATCATAGGTCACTTGCTTGCCTGCGCCATCAGCCCCTATTTTTGAACGGAGTACGCCCTTAGTTTGATCGCTTCCACCGCGCCTCGTGGCCCGACTGAACCAGCGTTGTCTCGCCCCTGCCGCAGGAGTGGACACCCGGATGCGGTTCAGCCTGGACCCCAGTGCGGGGGACACGGGCTTCGCCCAGTGGCGGGACGCCATGAAGATGGTGGCCAGGCTGCCCGAGGGCATCCCCAAGGAATTTCGAAAGAAGGTATGTCGCCCACGTCCGCCAGCGCCTCCTATACATGACGAGGCCGTATAGTGCCGGGATTCGTTAAAGTCACCTAACGAAGACCAGCGAGGGCCACGGATGGGTCACGAGTTGAGCGTTCGGCTTGGGACTGAAGTCCTCACTGACTGCTCGCAAGTCCCAGCCGAAGTACGCTTCCTGGAACGCCTCCCAAACTGGTGCGTTTACCGCAGTGTTATACAAAGTACTAAAAAAAAATTATTTAAGTTAAGTTACTAAATACCTGCTTCCTAACATATTTAAAATACTACTCAAGTTACTTTCACTGTAAAGTATCTTGAGCAGAGTACAAATACTTAGAGATGTAATTCAATTACTTCTGAAGATATTTCCGCATTGCGTAGTTTGTATCGACGTCAGTGACAACGTCAATTATACAGCAGCGCAAATCTGGGTTACCAGAACGGTTTATTAGCACGCAACAACTCAAAACAGAAAAAGAAAAAAAAATATATCGTAGGGTTATTTTATGCAGTCCAACTATAAGGCGCAGTATATTGTCACGAATGACAAATGATGAGGCAGCGAATAACTGAAGAAACTAAACGTTTAATGGGACGAACTTTCGCCCAAAACAAAATAGAGAAAGGCTAGCGTCGCAGGCGTCCATGTCGGCGAAACAGCAGGATCGACTGCTGGGGCGAGACTACAGCGAGACTGACTTTGGACCGCCACTCGGAGCACCTTTTGTACCCGCGTGGGTTTCTGGAACATTCGGCGTAGAAAGTTCGGAGCGTAGACCAAAGTTCTCGAACTTACGAGAATGTCTAGTTGATAGAATGAATAAAAGAGGAGTCCGGTATCGCACACAAGGTAACCATTCGGCCACGCGCTCGCACGGCAACATCACTGATGGATGTTACAAAACATTTCTGGGAGAAGAAAGAGGTCGCTATAGCTATTGGGGATCAGACCGTGGCACCCAAGCGGTTAACTTTAGAACTACATGGATGGGGACAACGAATACAATGACTCAGCGCTCGGCTGACTTAACCGAACGCGGCGTCAGCGTTCGGATGGAGTTCGTGTTCCCCGGTGAGGGGGAGGAGGGGCTCTTTGTTACCCCTCCGGCCTCCATGAAGAATGCAGCTTGCACGGTGCCCAGCTCAGCACAAAAGTCCAAGTGGATCAAGTTCGCATCCTCTGACGGCTGCTTTCGGGAAAGATCCGGCACTTAACGTCACTTCACTAATTGTTGGTATTTATTTTTACATTACACTGTGCCCCGCGCTCTATTAAAAAATATGACATGAACATGCCCACAAGGCCTGTGGGCATGTGCACAGGCCTTGTGTTAGGTAAACACCGAGGTGTGTGTGTGTGTGGGGGGGGGGGGGGGGGAGGGGGGGCGACAAACGGGTCAGAGCGCCTCGCCAATAGTGACATCGCTGAATATCACGTCCTGCGGTGCACCTTAGACGCATCGTTTAACTACAATTCATATTTCCTATAGACGCTTTGCAGCAGCAGTGCATGGACGCCGCCATAACTGACCTTCAGTTTTTGTTTCCTCTTATTCCGTTTATTTCACTTCATCATTACCATAGCAGGCCAGGTTATTGCCATATTAGATTCAACTGTGTCATTTTCTAAAGCATCGGCCTTTGTAGAGGATCGTCAATTACCGTTTCAGTTGCTCGGCATCTCGGAAAGACAAGAGAAGGTCAGCAATGGCGGCTGTAATTTGACGCGTGTGTAAAGCGTCTATAGAGGGAGTTTACTATAAACAAACTTGGGATACGTATGTGAGTGATTAGATAACGAAGAGAACCCACATAATAGCCACAGCAGTGTTCGGACCCTCTTGAATTAGGTTGCGTTCAGAAGGGCACTCAACATTGGGGACACTTTGTTGGCATTTTGAAAGGTCATCCAGCTCGTAGTTCGTTTCCTGTACTTTTCTCTGCTTATCAATGTTCGCTTACAGACAGTGTTCGCGAAAGCAATAGGGTGTATTCACTGGCGGCCATAGCTGTGTGCGCGATTGCTGAGCGCGTGCTGGTGGCGAACTTCCACAGTTATTTTGGAACGTGCACTCCACATCGTCAAGGTTGCCGGTCTTAGCAGCCTATTAATGTGAGCTCATTCCGAGCATGCGCTCTAAACAGCACCCACAAATATGACTTCCAGTGAATAGCCCCTATAGGTGACGGACTGACGACAAAAAGAAAAGAAACAAAAGAAAACCTCAACGTTTTGCCCTAGCGAGGTCAAATATACAAAAAGCAAAACAAAAATGTATTTTTTTTTCTGTGTGTGTGTCCGCTTCTCATTTTCTTCCATTTGTTATTTTCTTGGCACTCAAGTCTGCATTGTTGTCGTAGGTCTCTGCTGCGCGGTCATCGCGCGACGCAGCAGAGTCTGGTTGCACTATCTCTCCACGGGACGTGGTGCCGCCGGGGCCGAGATGCGCTCCGACTGCAAACCGAAACTTAAAAACCCGCCAAATTTGTGCTGTTTTTCTGAAAGCCGTAAAATACTTCGCTTGCCTTCTATCGTTCTGCAATTTATTGATTCAGTGTTTTGCGATGATGCTGAGCAATTTTCTAATTGACACAATATTAAAAGTTAATAACGCAAAAATAATTAACAATCTAATTATCCCAGACTTTAATAGTTTTCCTGAATAGGCCCCTGCCCTTGACGAAAACGACACAAGCCCTTTTTGTTGCGAGGCGTAGTTTTCGGAATATCGAATTTGTCCACCTTTCGTGAAACACCGTGTGTATATATACATATAAGTCAGAGATCCGTACTTGCGGAGTTGCTATACTAGGAGTTTATTGTATGTATTACGACAGTTTCGCCGAGAGGCTAGGCTTCGTCAAGAGTCGCTTCGCCGAGCCTCTTGGTGAAACGGTCGTAATACATACAATAAACTCCTAGCATAGCAACTCTGCAAGTAGGATCTCTGACTTATTAGATTTTCCCGATCCATTGTTCTCAAACTATTCTGCCTCACATATGTGTGTGCGTGTGTGTGTGTGTGTGTGTGTGTGTGTGTGTGTGTGTGTGTGTGTGTGTGTGTGTGTGTGTGCGTGTGTGTGTGTGCTACAGTGAAAGTGTGAACCTCTTTTATCGGTCATTTTCCACTTGCTCCCTTAGCTTCTTTTTTTTGTTTTTTTGTTTAGTAAAACCAAGTGATATTCTGCATCGGGTTCTACTTGATGCCGGATGTTTCTTTTGTATTCAGAATAGTTTACGCAATTAGCACGCATCGGAATATTGCGTGACTCGTGTTACCTATCTGAGACATTTGTAGGATCTGCATAAGTCGAATAAAGACCGATATCGCTCCATGATTTGCTAGCCTTTAAATATTTCCTCAGGATTTGGCAGGCCAGTTCCGAAGACTGCTATTAAATTAATCATTTATTTGAAGAGAAAAAAAAAAAAAAGGAACCACACACTGTTCCGAGTTTTATCAAAATTCAGTGGCGCGAGCGAGCAGATTAAAAGTCGCTTGTCGCGCGAGGACTCATGTGACGAGTTTTTGGTCAAAGCTCCAAGCCAAGCCTGTGGCATTTTGTGTTTCGCAGTACGTAAAAATAATGTATAATCACGAGTATATGGACTTATTCTACTTTATTTCTCGTCGATGTAAAGTTTCCAGAAATGTGTCGCATATGTCATTACAATTATCTCGCTCGCTACTTAACTTGTGAATGGTAACTCACTGTTTTAGATATTGACTAATCCTATAACGAAACCGAAGTAAATTTTTTCCGCAAAAATATTACTCGTCACTTTATATACAAAAATAACAAAAAAACGAAGGCCTAATACTAGTGCTCCGGTTGACGAGTATTCCGGCATGACAACCGTTCCTCGCACGAGATACCCTATGACGAGTTGGCCAAGCGGACGAGTTCGCCTATGATAAGTTTCCTCGCGACTACTGGGCTTGTGACGAGTTCTCCTAGACCCCCGCTTTGTTTGACCATACGACGGAACGCGCAAGACGCTTGGAGCGATCAAAGCCGATCAAAATGCCTCGTTAGTGTCTCGTGATCTTCGGGAGGGTCTCCGCGATGCGCTGGGCGTCCAGTCACGTGATACTTCCGCAGCATTGAATCGGCTGAGCTGACTCGTAGTGCCTGCTGCGGTCCGCTGTAAGATGAAACGGAGGGCAGTGCAGAGCACAAGTTTGTCTGCTTCTTGCACAGGAGTTGGGTTGATGTCAGACCGCCGAGCACTTAATGGCTGATTTGAAAAAAGAGTGGGTAGACCTCCAGGCATCTAGCCATTGAGATCTCCCCACTATCCTTTCAATGAAAGCCAATCAGAGCTCGGCGTCGTTCTGACGTCACCGCAACTCTTGCGCAAGAAGCAGACGTCTTGCCTTCCGGATACAGCTGAGGCCTCCAGCCTTCCCAAAATGAAAGCGAGGATTTCCCTCCCGACATTTATCATTACTATTTGTTCGTTTAAAAAAAAAAATATATATATATATAGTTCTGGGAGTTTTGTTCTTGTTTCGTGTACTGACTCGAGCTCTCTTCCCTCCGACTGTCTCGCAGCTGTGGCTGACGCTGGCCGAGCGCTACGTGGCTAGCCGCAAGCTGGACTGGGAATCCACGCAGAGGGTCTGCTTCAACGAGCGCTGTAATCCCGACGACCACAACCTCGGCGTCCAGATTGTCAAGGCGAGACCACCCGCTCTCTCGCCCCTCAGAGCCCTTTTGTGAGAGTGTCGACGGCGAGACAAAACCTGCCTGGTTTCACTTTGACCGGGAGGGATGCGAAGGTGGGGGATGGAGTCGAAACAAAGCCCTAGGAACAAACAAAAATACAGTGAAACACGTCTATATGTGAGTCTGTATCGTGGGAGCCATGTTTCTTCTTTTTTTTCCTGTCTAATTGGACTCGGATAAATGTTGTTAGGGAATGACCAGTCCGTGTGACAGGAGTACTTCTAAAACTCCGTGGCCTGCCACAACAGGGGCTCGGATACCCGGCGAGGAGGTCGGCGCCGACCGCCGCTATTGAACTTGACGCTAGTCAATCCCCGACGGTAGGCTATCTCGCCGACTTTCTCGCCGACTGTCCAACTTTGAGCCCCAGCATAGGCCGATTGAAACTAGTGACTATTCAGCTATGCATGGGGAGTTTAGAACCGGTTTCTAGTTGCGAACATCAGAACAACGCGAATAAGTAGTAGGTGACTGAAGGAATGGATGAGGTAATAAATATGTTTTTTGTTCTAAATATGTCAAAGTTTAGACATAGACGAATCTTTCGGGCTGGTTAAACCAAGATGACGGAAGCGCTAATAAAGGTAAGAATATAAAGTTAAATTTTCTTTTCAAGATTTAAGACATTATAACGGATATAATATTATGAACAGCAAAAGCAACTGGGAAAATATACCTGGAGACAACTTTCTCTGGCGATTCATAACAAAGTGGAGTTTTCGTGCATTGCTTTCCTCGGCCCAAAGGAACGTGGGCACGGGTGACAATAAATCTGTTTTTGTTGTCTCACAAATTATTGTAAATAAACATCCTTGTTTGTTTACAAATTATGTATGTTTACACAAATTAGGTAAGCAAACAACAAGAGGAAAATACTAATTTCCCTAAAGCCGGGGTCACACTGCTTGTACGTTATACAGAAGAAAGTCTGCAAACAGATTGAAGCGCGAGTCACCGCGAGATAAGTGCTTCGATTGGCGCATGGCAGTGAGTTCAGGGAGAAAACTGGCACGCGGCATTCGAACTGAGGATATTACGGATACTTGAGTTTGCAGACTGTCTTTTGTATGATGTATGGGCACCCACTCCTGCCCGTTTCGATCTGGATGAGCATCGTACCGGCGTGCGGTCGTGTAACACTACTGCGTGGTGCACGTTAAAGACCCCCGGCTAGCGGTTGTACCGTACTCGCTAAATTGCTCATCCACAGCGAGTGACTCGTGGAAACTTTAAATGGCAGACCAACAACACGCTGCATAAATATCCCCACAACCCAATTTTTTTTTTTTTTTTTTTTTTTTTTTTTTATGTAGGGGCAGTGTGATCCCCCCGACTTAAGTTGCGCTCCTTGCTTTCTGCAGGAAGTTCAAACGGTGTTTACCTAAACGTTCATTCTACAGCGTTTTATTTGGGTTAAAACCGTGAAAGCGAAAAATACATGGACGATCCTCTATTAGCCAAAGGTGATAATGTCTACCTCAGAGCTCGTTGCCGTATGAAGGCAAAAACCATCAATAAAATGCTGTCGGTTCGCTGCCTCGTGATTATTGGCCATCCGTGCTATCGCTGCAACGCAATCAAACTCTGGCTTCATAATGGAGACCAGAAGCCGGGCTCTCAAGTTCACACCTTCATTCCTTCCGAACACTGTGCCATCACAATTCACAATTTCTTCTCGAACACCGCGTTAGGTGGAGAGCATAGAACGCTTTCATTAATAAAATAAATAATTAGGCGAGTCGGTAACTATTCAACTTGAAACAGCGCGACTACAGACACGGACCAAGTGAGAGACTGGACAAAATGAACGCTGACGTTCATTAGAGACGCGGGAACCATGACGAGCATCCCCGACGCATGTGGGCGACGCAGCAAGAGCGAGTTGCGTGTTTGACACACGACGCGGAAGGGTGGCCTGACACGATACCAGGACGCAGCTGGACTTGACGAAATTAAACTTGGCAGCTGGCCGACTTTGCGGTAGCTGTCGTTTTACGGCGGCGCAGGTTTTGCAGCAGATCGCGGGGTGTGTCGTGTAAGGATCGCGGCAGGAAAACTTTTCAGCTACATTTAGCGGGAAACTTTCCCCGCGAAACGTCATTGTGTCACGTGGTACGGTGACGTCAATGACACGTCACTTCACTAAAGACTGTGACGTTATGTGACGTTGTGACGCCAAGTAACACCATGACGTCACAAGACATTGTGACGTCACGTGACCCTTTAACGTGACGTGGCGTCACGGTTATTTTGCAGTGTGATTGTGTGTTGCTGTAGCCGGCATTTCAGTTGCTGGAACCAAAATTATGTTAACTTTTTTTCCGGCGCTTTCTTGACTCGCGGCGGCTCTACAATCTGAAGGCATTTCGTGCTTTAAAAGGAAGGACAAGGCAAACGTTGACGTCTAGATTGAGGGCGGGTGAGTGACTCATCGCAATGACGGCCCTGTCGCCGTTCCTTCCTCCTCTCAGGACCTGCACCGCACGGGCTGCAGCCTGTTCAGCGGGGAGCTGGCCGAGCAGAACCAGGCGCTGCTCAAACGTGTACTGCTGGCGTACGCGCGCTGGAACAAGTCCGTCGGCTACTGCCAGGGCTTCAACCTCCTTGCCGCCTTCGTCCTCGAGGTGGTCGACTGGTGCGACCGCAACGCGCTCAAGGCACGTCTTGTCGCCTCTTTACATTCTCCACCCGGTGTTCAGGGAGGGCCGAGTAGATCGAACCCACTTTAAATAACTCTCAAAAACAGCTTCGCATCCTCCGACATTCACGTGTCCGAGGATGCGAAGCACAATTTCGTACAAAGATGAAGCTGGGTGATGAGTATATTTTTGGTTTAATGTCTGAAAGCAAACGTGGGTAATTTAAAAGTTACAAGTAAAAACCATAATTGTTTCTACGAGCCAACATGAAGTCAGACTTTTTTTTTTTCGCTTTAATGTGAAAAGAAACGTAAATTGTAACCGTTTGACTTGACAAAAAAAGAAGGAGAGACTGTAGAAACTTGTTTCGAATTCGTTCTCGTTCTATATTTTGTCTTATAAAGTGTCCCAAATGGCCCACGAGGACGCTTTGTTTCGCTGTTCATCTAGAAAAAATTAACGCTGTACACATTTACCATAAAGGTTTGCTTTTTATTAGTCACTTTTTATTGAAGTTTTATTATAGTGTCACGAAACAGATTCACCAAGTAACTATACTTTCGTGGCAAATTAGAGCCGCTGATGTTACATACTGATTCACGAGATTTATTTGAAGTAGACTGAATTCATATGGCCCTCGCTGTAGAGAAACCGGCAACTTTAGGGCATCAAAGAGGACTTACCCGTCGTGCTGTCTCCTGTGTCGGTCCCAATGTTGTTATTCTTCTTCTTCTTCTTCTTCTTCTTTTTTCTTTTTTGTACACACGATCGCAAGTAATATAGGTCTGTTTGGTTGTTTCCTTATCTCAAGTTGCTTGTGCACTCACGATAAATACCTTATACCACAACTAGACGACTGCGCACACAACCCGCGATTGCACACATCCAGTCAAACACATGTCCTATGACTAATTGTAGTCATAGAACACAGTACATTCGACTCTTTCGAATGTACTGTGTTCCGGATAACTTGTTTTCTGCGCATGAGAACGTAGGGAAGAACGATGATTAAGGGGAGGATACTTTGCCTCGGTGTCGTTGCGTGCACAACCCTAGGAGGGTACGTCAGTTACCAGGTGACGTCAAGAACGTACGCGGAGCTTAAGTTCGTCTGGTTCTTGCACGGGGGGGGGGGGGGGGGGGGGGGGGGGGGGCGGTGGCGATGATGTCAGAACGCCGAGCTCTTATTGGCTGATTGTAAAAACAATATATTGGGTAGACCTCACGGAGTCTGGCATTGGAGTCTACCCACTACCTTTTCAATCAAAGCCAATCAGAACTTGGCGTCGTTCTGACGTCAACGCAACCACAGTGCAAGAATCAGACGACTCGCTCTCCGCATACCTGCGTAACGTGCACATTGAGGAGGTTGCCAAACACGACGTAACCAAGCATTTTCTAAGACGAAAGAAAAACAAACTCACATGAGCACATTGGGTACGTAATTAAAAGACAGTAACACCGCAGTTGTGGTTCGGGAATATTTCTGCTGTGAACTCCGCCAGACAAGATTCTCTCTCGAGAGAGAAAAGGAGAACACTTGATATGATGACTCCAGACGGTTTCACCACCTACGCCGGACAGACTCAACACGTGGTAGCCGTCGCCCCACCCGTCTCCAGCCTGCCCAAACTGCGAGTCCGAACTAACCGGTGCGTATCACGTCGGGTGGGCCTGTGAGAAGATCCCCGGCCTAGCGCCGTTCACGAACCCGACGACGGAACGAAGGGAGGCCGCATTACGCAGCAAGGACGGGAGCCAACAGCTACTGCTGGCCGCGAGAGCAGTGATAACGTTCGAGGCTGGTAGAGCCCCGGAATAGGGGCAGCCACCCATTGCTCTCCCTTTCTTTTTATTCTTATTAGATTCAATAAAGATGTGTTTTTAGCAACAACTGCGCCAGCTTTTCATGCGTGAAGGATGTCCCTATCCACTGATCTGGTGAAAAATAACGTGACTTTTCGAACTGGGGGCTCGCACCTGACCAAATGTGCAGCATAAACATCCTGTGGTCTGACGGAGAAAATCTGGTACAAATGGGTGGGCATTACACGAGGCTGGAGATGAGAGTGCTAGGTGTGTCTGCTTGAAAGCGTGGCGCCAACACCACCGAGCAACTCACAAAGCTTGACGAAAATAATCGAGAAGGGGGACAAGAGGGACAAAGGACAAACATAAACCTCCAAACACAGCTAGGTGACTGGTGCGCGACCGAAGAAATCCGCCTGGTTCGGGTATCGAATCCGGGACCTGTCCATTACAGGTGGAGCGCTATACCAACTGAGCTAACCAGGGGTTAGACGTCAGTAGAGCAAACGGGTTTTATCAGCTGCCACCAGTCTAGCACCAACAAGGATGAAGCTTGCAATTTAAGGTAATTATTATAATGCAGTTAAATGCAAACCTTTGCATTTAATTGCACTATAATCATAACAATGCTTGCTTACTCTCTTTTATAACGTCATACTAACGATCCGATAACGAGTGGTGCGGTTGTTGATTCGCTTCCTCGCCCTCACACATGTTATTATCACATTAGAGAAACCCAGTTGGGGCGGCCAATAGCCAGCGGTGTCCGGACACATAGCGTTACGTTTGTACTGTAGAGAGAGATCAGTGCAAAAGGTTTTGTTTTCTAGGAAGTATCAGCGTGTACCTCGCGCCGTAGAAACTAATCGAGGTTAGAGAGCACTCTGCCCGACCCATATGACGTCAATGCGCGTCCCCTTTGTACAGATGATGATCTTCCTGGTGGAAGGCGTCCTGCCGGAGGGCTACTTCGCCAACCATCTGCGAGGCCTGTCGGTGGACATGGCCGTCTTCCGGGACCTGCTCCGGCTCAGGCTGTCCGCTCTGGCCAGGCACCTGGACGACCTGCAGATGGGTGCAGGGGAGTCCAGCTCAGGTAAGACAATCGGCACTCGAAGACACTTTGTAACCCACTCATTTCCAGAGTCTTCAGGGCACCAAGATCGTTTACAATGCCTCTGCTATATTTATCAATACTATCACTTTTCGGCATTATAAATTCCACGTATTCGCCAGTGTATTTGCTTCCTCAGGGCGTAAACTATTTTTGCCGTTATTTTAATGTAATTTGTTTATTGTAACTGACAGACCATAAGTTGTTTTGAGCAGATGTTCCCAATGAAATCGTTAACATTGGGGATCCTACAAAATCACCTTATCGCTCGGTAATAAAATTTTAAAAGTAGTCACGAAGCTAGAAACACCGTCTAAACTAGCCACGTTCTACCTTTCATGAACTATCGGTGCCTGGCTATAGCAGGGCCACTCACTTTGTGCCGTCAACTTTTCGCAATGGAAGACGCCAGCTTGGAGGGCGAGAAAAGCAGACACTACGGTGGGCTTTCTTGTATTCTATGCATCGCGCGAATCAGTTAGAACACTCAGTTGCCAATTTTTCACATATTGCTCAAGGCATTCACATGCTACTATTAGTGGTATCTGTGGGTTCACTACGCACAGTATTAGGTTATTAACCAAGGTGGTAAAGATCGAAATTTTAGATATCACACTGCGAGAAAGCAACGAAGAAGCGGAATCAATCTTTTGGCTAGCTGTGGTGCATACTATAGAGACTAAGGGCAGGAAACAGAGGGCGCCTCGGTCGCCCTCTAGTCAGCGCGGCTGGTGGTCAAAAAGGGCAACATTGGGAAGGCTGTGGCGCCGGACGATTGGTCACTAGGGCCGTGTCAATGTTTGCAGGGCGCTCAGACATTCGAGATCGGATCATGATTGCGCCCTCGAGCCGTCGCAGAGTTGCGACAATACCGTATCAGATAGCACTACCCGTTGAACCAAACTTCATTGCCCTGTCTGGACGTCTCTACTTCATTGCTTGCGATCTATAGAAACAACACAGCGGAATTAAGTCAAAGGATAGACATCTCCGGCACACAAGGTTGACATAGTTTAAGACAAACCCCCGAGACTGGGGAAAATACGAGGGACAACACAACACACAGAGTCTCAATGTGTTGAATTATTGTGTCGGCCTTGGTCTTTTCTTGTGTTGTGCTTTATTTTTTCCCCAGTGTCGGGGGTTTGTCACATCTTGTGTTGTCCTTCGTCTTTTCCTCAGTCTCGGGGGTTCGTCTCAAATTGTGTTAAACATTCATCAGCTCGTTTGCACCCTAACTTTTTTTTTTTCGTTGCAGAAAGTTTGTCTGTGTCTATGCGCTGGGTCTGCCGAAGTCATGCATGTGATGTCTTATAGCCGATATAATTTTATACCGGTTATTTGTGTCCCGTTATTATTTGTATTTCGTAAGCCCAGTGCTTCACGAAACAGATTTTATGCGAGCAGTTATGTCTTATTCAATCAAGCGTTTGCATATTATATTAGCCTCCCTCCACGTAAACGTTCATTGACTTAGGTAGCTGTATTCTTGACCAAACCAGCAGCGATATATTTATATTTTATCTAAAAAGTTATAAAAATTAAAAAAAATGATAGTGTGCTACTATTTTTCAAGAGTGATGATGTCAGCTAGGATAACGCTTTTTCTCTTCTTCATATTTTGCACATGACTGAGCCGGCAAGACGTGCTTGGCAATGCATAATAGCACTCGATATTCTTCTATTGACGGAGCGGTCGCGTCACAGGTGTGAAAGTTCTCTGATGGTGGGAAAACAGCTTGAACGCTAAGCAATTACATGAAGAGACAGGACAAGACACATACAAAGCTGACTATCAACTATTCTTTAGTATTTCCTTTCCTCACTACAAGGGATGAGGAGAATTAAATACTAAAGAATAGTTTATTGGGATGAAGAAGATGAAATACCAAAGAAAAGTTAATCGGGATGAGGAATATGAAATGCCAAATAATAGTTGATAGTGAGCTTTGTGTGCCTGTCGTCCCGTCTTGTTGTGTAATTCTGTAGCGTGGAAACTGTTTCCCCACCATCAGTGATTATGCACCAACTAGCTCAACTCAAAGCGGTAATGAAAGTTCAGTTTTTATTGTTTTTATTTTTATAACTTTCCACGGCTAAATTTAGTGGGGAAATCGACTTAGCCGTTAAGTCACGTGACGTCGATTTCCATGCCGAATTTAACGAGAACGTAATTAATGTCTAGGTCACGGAACGTCAGGTCACGTGACGTCAATTTTCCCGCTAGAGTGAGCGGGGAAACATCCTTTGTGCATAGGTCCTCTGACATCAAATTATCTGTCAAATCTAGCGGGAACCTCTATAGGTGTATAGGTCCCGTTACGTCAGTCACGTCTATTTCCAAACTATATTTAGCGGGAAGTTGATGTCATGTGACCTAAAGGCGGAGAAAATTTTAGAATAGGTGAAGGGGGAGAGAAATCCCTCCCTTTACCGTCCGGGATGCGCACCACGTGGTAAACACGTCACGCCTTTGTGCGGAGCCTCGCTGATGTACTAGAGATTGCAGGGGGATGCGGGAGCTTTTGCTCAGGCTGCATAAGCGCTACCCGCCTTGACGAGGGATCTCTTCGCTGTTGGCGTTATTTTGTTCGCGTGTTTGGCATCTTTATATATTTGGCTCTGCGGGATACCGGTGGTGGCATCGAGATCATACTAACTTGTCGCGGATTGCCCTGTTGCGCATGTCGTCTGAGGCAATTGAACGAGTCTCCGGTACTCATCAACGCCGTTTTCAAAGCTCCTCATACAACTCGTCTTGGATTCCCCGTTCTTTGTGTTGCATTCACCTTTTATTTTCTTTTTCTTTTTGCGGGAAGCTGCTTTTCGTCTCCTGTATCTAATAGTGGTGCTGCTATAATCGCGTATCACCGTTTTATGTACTCCAATGTTGTACTGTCGTCAGCGCGCAGCGACCCTTTTGTTGTTGAGAGTGCGACCGCTAAATGCGTCTGATAACACTGACATCCCTCTCGGCTCCCCGTCGTCGTCGTGTAAATGCTGGAACCAGGGAGGGAATCCTTCTGGTTCCACCGATCGCCGACGCCCGAGAGAGCTCCCCCGTGTGAATACCCCTTTAAAAAGCATTTCGTCCCTTGAAGGGGTCATGAAACGATTTTCCTACTTCTTCCTCCTTAGCTTTAATCCTCAACTAAAATGCGAATTGTGAAATCACGTGGCTGTGACATTCCTTCGGCACCGGTGCGATGACTCCTAGCTTCCACCGTGCTTTTTATGCACACCATAGAACTTGTCATTCCCCAGTGACAATAACTTCCGTCAGGGCACTCATTGGCCACGAACGCGAATCCAAACATTCGTCGACGGATTGATTGCTGACGAGCGCATACGTCCGAGTGACGCAGTTCTCGTGTCCAATGTGTGAGCTGGGCTCTGCTGACGTCAGTTTGGCGCCGGTGACGCGCTTTTGGAACCGCGGATGTATCATAGTGAAAAGGCGGAGAGCTTTCGAAGGCAAGAAGGTACAAAATAGTCCGCAATATTTTCAAATGTTCGTACCGAAAAGCTGGCTTCTGACTTTCTAGCCTCTTTCTTTTGGCCAACTAAACGATATGCGATTAGTAAAGTCCCAATTTAAAATCATCCATCCCAACCCAAAATTCGTTTCATGGCCCCTTTAAAACGGCACCAGGTTCGCGCGCTCTTAAACGATTGAGTACCAGGGCTCATATATAGCCCCTTTCCGCAAGGGCGCCGCCATCTTGAATTGTCGTCACTTCCAGTATGGGCGAAAACATTGTTTTGCCGTCGCCATGCCGATAAAAGGCATTTAGGACATAAACGTAACCGTCACACATTCTCGTTTTGCCTCCCCTCTATTTTGTTGCAGGTTGAAACGTTGCAGGTTGAAACGTTTTGATATTTTTTCGCCGCCCATACCGGATATGCCTACTTGGCGGTCGGGGGCAAGAGTAAGCGGAAAAGGTTTATAAACTGCGTGCATTTGATATTCCGTTTGCAGGCACGAGCTACGAGCCTCCGCTGACGAACGTGTTCACGATGCAATGGTTCCTGACGTTGTTCACCACGTGTCTGCCCAAGGCCACCGTGCTCAGGGTCTGGGACCTCATCCTCCTCGAAGGGAACGAGGTGCTCCTGCGCACCGCCCTCGCCATCTGGGACGGACTCGCCGAGTGAGTACAAACCACCCTGAAACCTTTTTCTTTTTTTTCATGGTTGAGAGAATTCTAACGTTTCTTGATACTTCCTTCCCAAGTAATGACAACCAATACAAATGACAAAGCACATTCCGCTGGAAGCAAATGGCGGCATTCAGTTCAAACCTCTGCGCCGCCATTCACTTCCTAAAACCTGCACCGTCACGCAGTCGGCGCTCCAAAGATTGTCGCTACTTGTAGGAAGTTTTTATCTAGGTACTTTAGCCAATACTGCTTCGAATGGAATAGCGCAACGTCATTTCTAGTCCCCAGCACTGTGAAGGATATAAATGACGCAGCGTTATTTCATTCCAACCACTATTCGCGCACCCCTACTTTTTTTTCGACGCAATAATGGCGGCACGGGCGTGCTGGTTGCTTGAAACTTAGATTGACCAGCCGAAAATGAATGGTATGAAAAGAGAAAAACAATTAATGAACAATAATTAAGCTCGGTGCGAGAAAAAAACAACGACGGGAAAGGGTAATACAAAAGACTAAACACATCGGATGAGTTTGATACTTCCTTATGTGATTTACGCCTACGAGTCTATGGTTTAGCCATGGGACATTTGTTTTATCGCTGTGTCTAAAGGTATGCTTCGGACCTGCCCGACTGATTTTGTTGAAGGTAGCTCGGACGTATCCGGTCAATATTCCTAAAGTTACGTCGGACGTGTGCGTGCGGCATAGCGCTCGTGAAGAGGAAACGATATGTCATGTTTACATCAGTGTTGCGGAGTTGCCACTCCGGAGTTGGAATGATTCCGGAATCATTCCGCTTTTCCGCGACCCTGGAATGGAATGGGAATGGAATGTCGGCAACGTTGAGGGGAATGGAATGGTAATGGAATTAGATGCCTTTTGCCCGGAATGGAATGGGCCCGGTTCTTTATTTTATTTTTTTTAAAGGGGGGGGGGGGGGGGGGGGGTCGTTCAGTTAAACCGAGCCAGTCAGCAAGTCAGTTGCTCAGAAATAAAATGAGCGGGAAACTGCTAGCCCGCGTGGAGCCATAAGGCCCATAAAAGACTTATACGAAGAAAAATGCAATACAATAAACAAGCGTCAGAGCAAAGGCCAGAGGGGAGAGGGGGGTGGCGGTGGCGCCTTTTACGGATGCGCAGGCGACGGGCTTCACTGGCATTACACAAGAGCGAAACAAGAAACCGAACACCAAGCAAAAGAAACGAAGCGAGCGGCAAAGAAAGAAACCGCCATGCACGGCTCCTCATCGTCCTTCTTGTCTTGTTTTTCTTCCTTTTTTTTTTTTGCGATGACACGGTGAATGCAAGCGCGCGCACATACTGAGATCTAGGAGCGGGGGTGACTCATAACTCGCAGAGCTCTGATAACTCGTTGAGTCGCACGCCGCCAGAATACGGTCAGTTATTGTTTTCTTATAGTTCGAGGAGCGTTGTTTAGCCGGTGGCCAACCCTGCTGCCTTCCACGCACATTCGCGCGCACTTCTTTGAAGTACGAAATCGGGGTTTGCTTCGGCATTAAAACAAAGCGAGATTCACTTCTCTCTTCTCCCCTTGCGCTTGCTCCGACGCTTGTTTGTTGTTTCGTTTTTCTATTTATACTGTATTTTTACGTGTAAGTCCGCCTTTTGATTGGTCTTTGTTCCGATGCTTGTTTTCTGTGTTATATGTTTGACATTCAAGTGAGTTAGGGTTACAAGCAAGCTAGCGGATGTCCGCTCCTTTCCTTTGACTTTAGTCTAGCGATGGACCGCTGCGGACGCTTCGAGCCCCCAGGCAATACAGCGCCGTGAGCTTAGTAAGATCAGTGCTTTTTTGAGGCATTTAGCATTTTTTCGCAATTGTCTATGCGTTTGATAATGTCAGCTTTATGCTGTCTATGCCGGAAACATTGCACAATGTAGCTGTCAAGTGCCGATTTTTACGTTTAGGAATTAGAGGATTGGAATGAAACAATTCAGCCATTCCAGGAGTGGGAATGGGCCAAATGTCCCTATTCCTAGGAGTTGAAAGGGATTGAATTATCGAAAACTCTAATTCCCGGAATGGAACTGGAATGGAATGGGGGCGCCCATTCCGCAACACTGGACATGCATTTTGGCCGCCTCAGAACGGCGGGGCATGGAGGCAGACATTCGATCCCAAGGTTCCCGTGGCATCCCCAGATCACTGGAGATTCTTTAATACACGTGAAGAAGCATCAAAATCATTTGCAAGGTTGGTATCTGACCTTTTTAGCTTAATTTTGTAATATTATAGGCGCCGGACGTCAAATAAAAGAAACGTATTGTCTGCTTTTCGTTTGTTTTTCGTTTTTAGAGCGCAGCTCTTAGGCGCCCGTTTCCGGCTTGAGCGGCGTCGCCGTCGCCGACGGAGTAACCGTGAGGTCACGTGACCCCCGAGAGGTCACGTGACCCCCAAGAGGTCACGTGACCCCCGTGAAATCACGTGACCCCCGTGAGGTCACGGGACACCAGTGACGTCACGTGACCCCCGTGAGGTCACGTGACCTCACGGTTACGCCGACGCCACTCGGGGGGAGGAGTAGCAGAGAGGATGAGGAGGTGAGGAACGAAGGAGCAGGGGTAAACTCTCCCCTCAGTACCCTTTCCTCATCCTCCTCAAGAGTTGCGCTCTAATTCGGCGTCACAGGGAGTTGTAAAGGACTCTTTTTTTTTTCACATTTACCTGCCGCTCTCTTTTTTTCTATCCCTATGGGCAACCGTTATCAAACCTTACAAATTTCCGAGTTGAATTGTTGTCTTTGCATTCTTTTACGGTGTTCTACATCTACCCGGGAACTCAGCTGATTGATGGATGAACGCAATGCAGCTAGCGCGGCTAAAAGTTGCCGTGCCCGTGCGGAGCGGCACCGCTATACCGTAAGCTCGCGCTGCGACTTCGAAGCACGGCCCTTGGGGCACTCAGCGCGCACCAGGCGCCATCTTTTAATACGTCACACATCCCTGATCACCGGATCCGTTCGACGTGCCTTCGAAAAAGTCGGCTGAGTATGTCCGACGTCCAAGGTCAGCGCACGTACGAGGGCACTAATGCTGATGCATTGAAAACGCGAGTTTCTGTCGACGTCCATGTCGAGAAAAACAACCTTTACAAAAATTATCGATGAGTTTCACCTGAATTTCTGATGTATTCTATAAGAATGCATTAAAAATCAATTGAAACTCATTCATAATTTTTGTAAGGGTTAAGGCAATCACTCAGGGCCTCCCGACGTCGGCGTCTCCTTGTGGAACATCGCGTTTGTCGAGAGACACGGAAATTTTTTATTCGTCAGCTTCGTACGATCGATGTCGCCTTCCCTTCGTGATTGCATATGCGCCCGGAGACAACCGTGTTCAGCGAATGCACAAGGGCGATGATTATATATACGTTTACACTCCAGTTGTATGCATCATATGCGAGAGGCACGGACTCGAGCGCGCAGCTCCTGAATGCCTAGAAAGTGCTCTTTTGGCGCGTTTTTGTGCTAACAAAGCTTAACTGCTACGCCCGCGCGTCCGTACCTTTGTTAGCACTGAACGCAGCTTGTGCATTAGTGTTTTCGAAGGAGAACTGTTGTATTTCGTAGGGGTGGTGCGCACACGAAGAATGCACAAAAAAGATTAGGGGTGATCACTTTTGTGCAGTTGGCCCACGCTGCGAAGTTCGTCGTACCAGGGCGGGTTTCGCGCAAACGATAAAGAGTATTTCATAGCGTCGTACATGCACAGCAAACACGGCTCACAGTCCGATGTTTCAATCGGCTTGTTTTTTCTCCACTTTGAAATGCTTGCAGGCACGGGTGGCGACTGCCCGCATCCCTCGACCCTCTGTCTCTTCGCCTTCTTTATTCATAAACAAAAAGGTCTTCCGTCGTCGTTTTCTTCGAAGAACTTTTTTTTCAATACAAACGCAATTAAAAAAATTTTAAAAACTCATCTAATGACGTGGCTAGAGATGAGCGAGCCTCTAGTCGCGTGAAGGAGTAATTAGCGGTATCGCGCCATTCCAGATACTGCTATAAGTGATTATGGTCCGCGTAAAGTTATCTGACGAAGAGCGCCGTTACGTAGCCGTTTGGCTGCGCGGAATCTCAGTGATGACCAGCATGAGCAAAGATAAGTTTGAGTTCAAGAGACTAACCCCTCATACACGGATTAACATCAACGTGCTTGGCTATAAAGCGTAACCTCTGAGCGATTAAGCCCGAGCGTTTCACTTATGCAACACTGTTGCCTAGTAATTTGGCATACATTCTTCGAGGTTAGGAGCAAGTGATCGCATTACGGCTTGTCTTATGCAGATGAGCGTTAGCTTGCTCTGCAAACAAAATACCAATCTATGCAATTGTAACTTACGTGCGGAAGCTCCAAGTCCCACAAGTTGTAGTACTCGGTTTTTCTTGTTTCGGATCGATTGGTTCACTTATAGCCCTATTTCACGGTCAATTCAAAGGAACTCCTTTAAAGAATCGGCGAATCAACTCGCAATCGCATCTCTGCGCTTGCCCCTTGATTCCCGCTAATTGGCTTTTTTTTTTTTTTTTTTTTTTTTTTTTTTTTTTTTTTTTTTTTCAGAGTTGATTTTGAAGGCCTTTTAATTCTTCGTGAAACGAGGAACGTGCTCGCATTGTGATCAGAAACAGACAGACTCAACGCTGATGCCTTCCCCTGTCGAAGAGCACGTTCTCAACAGACCGTGTTGTATGGGCTCAACGCCCTTTATGGCGAATTCGGGTGTTCAATCGCCGCCGAGCCCACGCCGGCGGCACAGGCAACCAAAACCGCGCCAGCGGCGCATCACGTGACCCTCTCCACCCGAACGCAAAGCGCATGCAACTGGCGTTTTCGTTTGCCTGGGTCGCGCGTGAGCTTTGTTAACTTCTTCCTCGATTATTTTATTATACAATAGGGAGTATTCACTGGACGCCATATTTCTGGGTGCTGTTTAGGGCGCATGCTCAGAACGAGCCCACATTAATAGGCTGCTA